CCGTAAAGGCAATCCATCTACGTCCTGAGGACCTCGCTGCCACCGTCCAAGCGTGCTTGGCCCCGGCAGATGAACCTCAGGATTAAAGGGTGGGCTCAGTTCCGCGCACACTGTGTCTCACCTAAAAAATCCAATGCGCAGGCTGGAAGGTGGAAAGACCTTCCCCGGTTCTTCGTTCGCGAAGAGACTGGCCACACACCACACACACCTAATAGCTGTACTACTGATTTTACAAGTGTATTTTCACTAGTGAGGTGCAAATTTTGACCTTGACTTCCTTCACTACTCATGCAATTATTGCACTTGAAATGCTCTACGTACCTTTATCCGACCACCACTGAGTTCCTCGCTAAGCCGCAATCTCGCATCCACTACTCTCTTCAAATCCCTTTGCAGTCGTCGTCCAAAGTCCCTGAACATCGTGGATCCTCCTGAGAGAACCACATTCTGTGCAGAAATTAAAGACACATGCTGTAAATCCAGCTTCAAGCAAGTTTCCCAACAGCCAATGCTGCAGATGTGACTATTTGGATCTTACCATCATAAGGGAGCTGACAAGGTACACAGAACACCTTTCACTTCATCCTATTTAAAGAAGCCTCGTGGTCCCCTACTTTCTTTTTTTCTCCTTTAAATACATTTATGTAGCATGTGTTATTACAAAAGATGATTCCATTACAACAGTGAGTTAGTACCCCACATGTGCAGAGCAGCAAAAATAAGACACTACATCAAGAAATTTCCCAGGGATGCTCATAGTAAGCAGTTTTAGCCCTGACACCAAATAAAGTCTCAAGCCTCATCATACCACCTTAGGACTCAATTTTGTTGAGTTTTTTTTTTTTTTTTATTTATTTTAAGAGTTAAACTTCCAAACATAGCAACCAGCAAGGTCAATGATTCTTCAAAAAGGCACCACTCCTCCACAGAGGACTGCAGCACAGAGAAAGGTACGATGCCTTTCTCCTTGCTTGGCTGGTATTACCTAGTTTTCAGAGCAGAACCAAAAACCTCTCAGCCTGGACTTGGACTTGGATTCTAAACAGGGGGTTTAGAACATCCCATCCCCAATCCTGATAACATTGCAGCATCACAGACTAACACAGAAGTCATTTCAAAGGTGGGGGATTCAAAACAGGAACACTAGCAGCAGCAAAAATGCAATTAATAATCAGAAAAAAATGAACTCTTTGTGACAAAATTCATATGTGCCCCTGTACAGTGCTGCAACTGCAACCCCAAGTGCCAATTAGCACTTACTAAAACCACTCATATGCCTTAGACACACGTCCACAAGGAATTCAGATTAAGAGTTCATCATACACAAGTCAAAGGATTATCTCTCAATAACAGTTTTTGACACTGCAGACCGAGACTGTGCATGTAATGAAAGAATCCCTGACCCACTGTTTTCACCCTGCACAAGAATCTTAAGAGTCAAAGACATACATAATAAGCACTCAAAGTGCAGATGTAAGTGCTTGGAGTTTACGCAACAGATAACAAAGAAAATCTTGTTTGTATCTTGTAAAGTGATAAGAAAGCTGTTTGTTTATTCATTAAAAAAATCCCTGCACATCATAAAAACCCATTACAGTAGGAAAAACTCATTTCTTCACAGCTTCAGATTCTCACAGTATAAAAGAATGCATAACAAGGCAGGTGTGCTTAAAATAAAACCACATGTCCCAATAACGTTACTGAAACACTTCCTAAAAGAAAGAGGAGGACAGAGAAGAGGAAAGGAGCCACGGGCATAAGCAGGAGTCAGAAATCACAGTTGGCCCTAAAATTAAATTAGGAGGGAGACTCCCCCTGCTCCTCCCCATACACAAGAACATCTCTTCCCCTGCCTCAAAGTGGTCACGCACTCCACATGGGAAAAAAAAATTGCTAATAGGGAAAAAAAGACAACAACCAACCTGAGTGATGAAATAGCAATTAAAAAGATGCCATCAGAAAATATTACCTGGAGATAATGAAGTTGGCGAAGACTGTGAAAGCAGTAATTCTATTCAAAGCAAATTAAACTTCAAGCATACTCCATAAAGTGGACAAAGCTAGCACTAAAAATAGATTTCAGAACACACCTGAAAATATTTTTTCAAAGACATTCAAGACCAACTCATACAACTTCAGAGTTAGCAGTAACACTGGGATGATCCTTCCATCCAGTTAGTTATCATTCCAGAGTTAGAGGCTAAAAGGTTATACCTTCAACTTTCAGAGTATGATTATTCAAATACTTCTACACACTGAAATCAGTTTAACAACACAGTGGCCAAGGAGAACAGGAGCATCAGGGTCCACATGTTGAAAAGATGAGTCACCTAACTATCACATATCTGGACAAGCCAAGCCAAGCAGGACTTCGGATATAAGTAATTATATCCAAAATACCAACTGACACCAACTGTCATTACAGGATGGTTTATTACACAGTCACAGTTCCCCTGCTCTGTACACTTCTTGTCAACACTGGACCAAATCCCTGTTAACTCTTTAGTAAAAGACTTTTCACATACAGGTTTTGGTAAGTTATCTCAACCTGGCAGGTCAGACTTCTGGGAGGTCAGAGGCCTGGTGCTCCTCACTCACAGTGAAAACAGAATCCACATACAGTCCCCACCTCTCAAGCACCACACCCACCACTCACAAAGGACTGATCAAAGGTGGAAAAAGATGGTCAGATTAAAAAAAAAAACAACAACAACAAAAAAACCCCAAAAGACAAGCAAGAATCTACCCCCTACCCTCACAAATATCTTCTCTAGAATAAGTGAGTAATTCCAGTAACTATTTAACAAAAAACCTAACAATCAAGCACGTTGAATATGTCTGTTGAGCAAGCTTACTAGTGAAGGCTAAGCTTTCAGCCTGCCGGGGAATTCTCTGGCCTCCCAGAAAAAGGCATCAAGCAAATTAGTCTTTAAATATCTGTTTCCAGCTGATTCCTTTAGAGAAGATTTCTTCTGATCTTACTGTGCTCAAACAGACTTTGGCTGGTTTAACAGCTCTAAGCAGTCCACATATTTCTCAGCTAACACCAATTATCATACCTGCTGATGAAAAGAACCTCCAGATGATTTTTACTTTTACAGCTAACTGGTTGAAAATTAAAGTTGTTTCAAAGGAATGTGTTCCCTCAGAAGAGAGAGGTGAAGACCCTCCACACACCTGACAAAGTTAACCATGAGAAGTAAATAATGAAAGGGGGGATTTCTGGAAGGAGACCAGGGGAGTGGATAGCAATCATAGAATCATTAAGGGTGGAAAAGACCTCTAAGATCACTGAGATCAACTCAGGAGGGCTGGAAAGAAATTTCTCCCTTCTCATCCCTATCCTTTGCTTCTCTTCTGAACTCTGTGATACTGAGTTTGTCTCTGCACTATTTCTGGTACTATGCTTAGACAGAGTAATCTTGCAGAAATATGAAGTTACTCAACAAAAGCAACCCAGTTCCTCTAACAAAAATCTCTAGCTAAATCAAGTTTACATAAAATTTCTAAAAACTTAAATTAGGTTCTGTAGAACTTGGCACTACCAAACAGAAGGTGCTGAACTGGTTTGTGCATCTTCACACTGTACCGTGGTGTAAGCACACTCTCAGCTGGACAATTTAGACTTCGCAGCACCAAACTGAAAAGCATCCACTGCTTTTTTTTTTGATTAATAAGAACAACACATCCCAATTTCCCTTCCTTACAATTCACAGCCCAAATTAACGTTAACATGACATGACCAGACCACCAGAGACACGTAATGAGAGGAATATATAACTGTTAATAAAAGTTATTATGGGTAAAAGCTAGAAGGTTCACAACTGAGTCAAGCACGTTATTAGCAAGAGAATCAATTAAGCTCTACACACCTCTGTTAATTTGGTTAGAACAGGTTTGCCAGCACAATATGGAAAGTATAAGAAGAAATATTGTACATACCAAACAAGAAGTAAATGTATTGTGAGAAACACTATTTTTAATATGTTTACTTTTAATGATGAAGAAACCTTTTCTTCTCTCCTTAAAATCGTGATTTTCAATGTTCATTTAACAGTTCAAGTAATAGCAAAAGATTTCAGCATGACTTACAGTCGTGCTGTTCTGCAGAAATACACCTCAGACACAAAAGGAACCATAAAATCCTGCACACGTGTTGAGCTACTGTTAAACCAACTAGCTAGGGTAAAGTTATAAATGTAATTACAGCTGGGACAGGAATAAACAGGGCTTCTCCTCAGTACTCCCGTCCTTCACTGACATGTTAATCAGTCGGAGCTTCCACTCGAAGTAGCCTAAATACCTTTCCCACGTCCTGCTATCAGTGCCAATACGATGTGAACCCCCTGGCCTGGAAGCCTCTCCAGCCTTTCCTCACCCTCAGAGCCGCCTCGCCCTGCTCGGAGTCACTGAGTCCTTGTGCTGGAGCACACATCAGCAAACCCAGTTGAACAGTGCCACCTACCCACCACGCTGAGCAGCTGGAGCTGTTATCACACCGAGTATTTCTATTTGCCAGCAATTCAGGTCAGCAGTGACAGGAGGGGGGTGTTTTACCACCCTGTCAGCCTCCCGCGCCCCAGATCTCTCCAGGCCTTTGAGGACGGGCTGTTACGAGCTGGGCAGCCAACAGTTTAACTTGCTAAGTGAATGCTGACACAAGTGCAGTCCAAATCTTAATTGCAGTAACAAGCTCAAGTTCACTACTGTCCCCAACAGCTCTGCATACCCAGTCAAAACATCACCTTCTCTAAGAGTCAATATTGTTAAAATCCTGTGCCCATGCACGTGTGTTTCGACAGAAAATCTGGATGTTTCATCTACAATAAAACACCACACTTGCCAATACACTGCAGTCCCCACCTTATGCAGTGTTTTCAGCTCGAGAAGCAGGCTTAAAAGTTGAGAGATCAAGGATGTTACCAGTTGATCCGCCGTTATCTGATTCACGAACATTTTAACAGGCTTGGCTAGGATATGTCAGAGATATTTCTGACTGAATTTACCTGGTTTCAGATGTCGTTTATCCTAAATTCTTTCACTCGTATATTTGTGCCAAAAACACAGTAGAGGAAAGTTGAAAGAAGTCAACTGCTGGAACAGCCAGTGACCCTACACTTAATATGCTTTGTACTGGGGTAAGGCACAGACCTTGGAACTGTTAATACTGTTCTCATCTAAACTCTGGGAGAACCTGGGGAGAGGCTCTGGATGGGGGAAAGGGAAGATGAAGCAGAGTGTGGAATAAAAGCGACAGTTTCTGAACTCGTTACTAACAAAAAAAAAAAATCTGCTTTTATTAGAATACCAAGAAGTTTTTAGAACTTTTGAAAGCCCTTTGCCCACCTTTAAAGTTATTATAACTACATTCACTGGCAGATTGGTTTTTGACACTAAGTGTCAAAACTCGTGCCCTAACTGACAAACACTGGGACAAGTTTCAGAGCATTTCCTGGTTGAAAAGAGATTTTTAAATAGCAACTAATCTTGAAAATTTTCAACACTAGCATCTGCTGTGGCTGTACCACAGAGCAGATATTCACCACCGTGTTCAAGAGTTACACTGTGTTCAGTAGGGTGCTCACAGGAACTTGAAAGCTGGGTAAAGGACCCCGTTGTTGTGCAGACCACAGTCCCCACCGTACTACTGCACTCCCCCTATAATTTCTCTGCATTTCTGTGATATCAGCTATACTCCATATTATATTAATTATCAGGTAAGTATAAGGAAAGTCTGTGGAACAATACTTTAAGAAAAAAGGAAGCTGCCGAGTTCTTAAAATAAAAAACCAGAACTAGATGAACTATACACCATTTTTCCCAAAGAATGCCAAGGGTGATGCAATGTCTCATTGAGGCCCCCAAAAGCAGCATTTCTAGCTGCATGCAGGACGAGGTCATTTTTCAGTGGAGTTCACTACATAGGAACAATTAACACAGCCAGAATGCTAGATTATTTCAGCCATGTGGTAAGATTAAAAAATTATCTCCTGTATAATTTCATTTGAGCACTCACTTTAAATTTCATTCTATTTTCCGAAGATTTGAGTTTGCAAACCAAAAAAAAACCAAAAAAAACACCCTACAAACAAACAAACAGCCCACTCTCTAATGACCCTGTAAACAGTGGTCCAGAGTGAGATCCTTTTCTGGATCAATGCTGAAACCAGGACTGACATCCCTTCAGCTGGGTCAATGCTGAAACCAAAATTAGCATCCCCTCAGCCAGAATGACTCTGGAACCAGGACTGGTGACATCTTTTTCTCTCTCTTTTTCTCTCCTTCTTTCTTTAATTCAACTCTCCCTCTTTAATTCCTCTCTTCCCTTTCACCCTACCCCTTTATCCAAAACCCACTGCTGTGTGCTTATACAGTAGGTCAGGGACTAACACACTCATGTCCATGCCAAGAGTGTAGTTTATTACTAAAACTTTCTGACTGTTTGCAGACCCTCTGACCTTTATCCCTCCTTTCAGCCAACGAGCATTTACAAATCTGAGGTGCTTCCTACCCCTTGCTGTCACTGATCTGTTGTCACAGATCTGGCTGAAGAAGTCAGTCTTATGAAGGTTCTGCTGGTCCAAACAGCAACATGAAGAGAGATGTTGATCAGACTGGGAAACAGGGACAGTGGCTATAGAAACTCAGAAAGAAAAATACCACAGGACATCAAAAGATAGGTTGTGAAACAATGATTCAAAGGCTACATACTACATAAAATCAGTAAGAAGTGTACTCTTAGGTATTTTCTGCAGGAACACAGAGGAAGAATCCAAATGCGTTTGATGGAAACCCAGCTGCAAAGCACAGGGGCCTTGGTTGGCCACCACACTTGCAATTGTGGGCAAGAGAAACTGATAAACCCCAGAGCTAAGAGAAAGTATGAGTGGATTATTTCTGCATCCATACACTGTTTTAAACAGTGAGAACAGAGATGCTCAACCCTTTGCAGCAACCTTGATGAAAGAAGTTGGCAATTATTATCATTAATAACCACTCACATCTATCATTACATTCAACAGCCAATTGTGCAGTGTTGTTTAACTAAGCAAGTGAAATGAAAAACAGAAAATGGAAAAACAAATTCTCAATCAGTGGTAAGCCAAGGGAAAGTTATTTGCCTGCTGATTATGGTGAGGCATGAGTAACTTAACCTTAGCTTCTAAAAACCACTTTCTGGAAGTCAGTAGTAACCTCACCCTACCAAGCAAAGAAGCTGCTGCTCTAGGGCAGCTTTGGGCTTTTAAGGTAAAAAGCAGATACAGCACAATCACACACTATGGGCTTCCTAAACCCTTCTGCAACACACATGAGCTTAAAGCCTTTGAGGACATCTACTGCAAAACTCACTCCACATAAAAGCCTCTTAAATAGTTTAACTTTGCATTTTAACCTGCTCCACAGATTTGCTCTGAAGTGCTACAGCTCACTCTAGATCACAGAGCATGTGAACCAGACAAGTAAAACAGACTGCAAAATTTTAATAGTTACAAATTATCCTGGGATACGACTTCGTTGGAACTTAATGGTCATTCTAACAGGTGAGGAAAACTACCCCCTTTTACATGAGCAAGAAAAACTCTTCGTGCCGTTGCTTTTTACCATCATTTCCAAAAGGGCATTGCTGCTGCTCGAGAAGAAAAAGGGGAAGCACAAGATGTGCTGCCAATACAGAGAGAGCTTGCCATGGACTACGCACATCAGTACCTTACTTTTCACTTCTTAAAGAATCAGGGACTGAAACTACTCTCTAGACTACAACCTGGGCAGGTTTTAGCTGGCCTAACTACTGTCTCATGCACTTTATCACTGGGTTCAATACTGGCTAAAACTGCAGACAGTGGGCAGGTACAAGACAAGACTATAAAAAGAAAATTTATTTGAAACCACTACTAAATAAAGTAAGGGAAGAAGAGGAGTGAGAGGGGGAGATCATGACCTAACCCTTAAAATGGGCAAAAGTCAAAGTCCTTTACGCATAAGAATTCACATTACAAATGTCAGATACAAATAACATCCCTCTGCCTCAGTTCCTCAGGAACAATACTTACCTATGTATCAAGCCATTACAGATAACTCTTCTTTCAAAAATAAAAAGCATCAAATATCAACTGGCCTTTGGAAGTGGCACTTCGTTTCACTTGAATTTTATTTCCATTCGAAGTTCACATTTCTCACAGAAGTAGTATGTATCTGTTTCTGATGATGATATTGATAATTAATCTTTAAAGAGATTACATCCATCTTACAGCAGAAAGACCATACCTTATATAATGGACGCCGGACATCAATGGGACAGTTCTGTATAACTTCATCAACTACATCCGAAATGGATTCCATGAAATCAGGATTAGCAAACTAAAATGAAACAGAACAGGCATTGGATTTTTTCATCCAAAAACAGGTGAAACAAAAAGGCAGAAATAAGACTGTGAAGAGATTTTGTAATAGAGGATGGGTGAGAATCAGTCTTGCTTGCCACTTATCCTGCATTATGACAGACACACTTCCATATGAGGGAAATAACAATTCCCTTTTTTGCTGGGAAATTCAGATTCTCTTCCTTGGCCATAAATTCACTGTCTACAATTTATGCACTATGGACCTTTTATCGCCTGTGACACGAATTTGAGCTCTCCTGCAATATCAAAATACTGTTACTGTGCAGTGTGGTCCTGCCTTTCCTTTTAAATGAGAGAAAAAGCATCAGTGTGCAAATTGGAATGTTTCCCTGTAAAAAATGTTCAATACTACTAAAATACTTCGTTTAAATTATCACCAGAAAGTAAGATTTTTTTTTCCAAGAACAGAAAGTCAGTAATATTAAAAAAAGCATAAACAGTCTATGGTTT